ATGAAAAAAGAAATATATATGAAAATTAATTGTAAATTTAAAAGTTTCAGTTATTAAATTCATATAATTTAATATAAAATCATTTAAATTACTTAAATGATTATTTTTTTTTGTGAAATATATTTATATATTTATATATTTTATTTTGTGAAATAAATAATGAAAATTTTTTTATTTCTATTTATTTATTTCTATTTATATTTATTAGTTTATATTTTGGTTGATTCTTAAGCTTCAACTATTAAAGAAAACTTACAACAAATCGTGTATCATTAATTAAAACTTTTTTTCCAATTTTAAAAATTTAAAATATTTTTAATTTAGAGAAATAAAGTTCATTAAAAATTTATATTGAAAAAAAATCTAATTTTATTAAAAAAAATATATATACCTAACTTAATTAATGATACATTTCATTAAAATGTAAAAATAAAAAAGAGGATAGTTATTATCTATAATAGTATTCTTATCATCACTTAACTTTAAAAAGTCGCGTGCCTAAATTGGTTTTCCATTCAATTGTTTTCTTCAAGTAATATATATTTTTCTATTCTTGTTAAAAATTTTTATTCTACATTTTTAATTACTTAATTTGTATTTATAATCCTTTTTTATAATTCATCTATTTATCGTATTTACATATATCAAAATATATCAAGATCATTCCAAAATATAGAAAAGAAATAATATGTTTCGAAATAACGTTATTCATGTATATATTATTTTTTCTGTATACATGTATATTATGTCATACTTATATAAATTATACAAAATAAATGTATATTCTTTTCATCAAATTAATTTTTATCGATAAACTTTTGTATCATAATTATATAGCATCGATATCAATAATATGTAGTTAATGCTTAATTAATAGACCACGTTAAATTATATTGTTGGATTTTTATGACACGATGAATGTTAATTTACATTTTAATTTTCAATAATTCAATTTGTGAAAGGTTTTTAATATCTAAAAAATGTTGAAAATTCAGAAAAATAGAATATTAAGAGAGAATTAGATTAGAGATGATACAAATTTTATTAATAAAGAAATTAAATATTTATCGTTAAATTTATAATAAAAGTATAAAATATGTTAATTAAATATGCATGCATTAATTGTGAAATGTAGAGGCATATAAATTAATTTTTACCAATAAATATCATTAATAAACATCATCAAATTTAAAAAAAATGCTTATCACTTGTATATAATAATAATATATGATACATAATAAGAATTAGAAAATATATTATTATTAATAATTGTTAATCTTTAATATTACATTTAATATTTAATGTAATATATAATTAATATTTATTTAATATCGAGACAGTTATATATTTTTCATGCATACATATTTTTTATGCATAAATATTATTCTTTATATTTATTGTATATAAACATTTGCAGTCTATTTATTATTATTCTGAAAAAAATATGTTTTATTAAGTTTTTTTGTTACTTTTTTATAAAAGTTCTAAGGAGTTCCAATACTATAAATTCTTATAATCAATTATCTCAAGAAAAATTTGCATTATGAAATAATCATGAAATAATCTAATATTTCATTCAATTCACATTATATTTATTATACTTATTATATTAAAATTTTTTTTCTTGTGACAAATAATATAAATATGAAAATTTTGATCACAAAATATTCATGCCAATGAGAATATTGTACTAATGTTTGTAATTTAAATGTAATTGTAACTTTATTTTTGTAAATATTGTATGATAATGTTAAATAATACTATGTTTGTGAAAAACAGAATTGTGCCATCTTAAAATAAATAAATAAAAGTTTACCATTATATTATAATATTAGTATTATTATTATATTCTTAATAATATTACAACATATTTTTATAATAAAATATATGTTTGATGTATATTAAAATTAATGTGTTTTTTTAAATATATTCTGAAATAAAAACGAAATATTAAGCAAACATGTTTTTTATATAATTTTTTTAAAAATATATAAACATTTACAATATTTGCAAATTTGAAAATAATTGGCATATGGAATCTTTTTTAAGATAGTAGGTACTAAAAGATAAATAAATACTAAAAGATACTAAAGGGTATTCTATAAATTTGATTTATTAATTTTCGTCGCAAGCAATTATTTTTGTCTTTTCTTTTTAATCGAAATATAATAATACTTTAAAAAAAAACTTTATTAATAAAATATTTACAATTTGTCACATAAAAGTATTCCAATTATATTTCTACATAAATTAATTATATTAATTATATTTGTAATAAATTTAATATGAATGAAAACATGTAGATTATTATGTTCTTACTTAACAATCATAACCACTTTCTATTAATATTTCAATATAAGAAATAGTAATTTTCATATTTTCAAATATAATGTGTCATCCTTTTTTAAATTTGTTTTTTTATAATGGATACATATTTTCATATATTTTCTATAGAATTTTTATTATTGGATAATTGTATCACTCTAATAGGATAATTCCACATTTTTTCAATTTATTGTTATATAATAACAATAATTTATTATTTTCTACATTTATATTTAAAATACATATTATTTGAATAATTATGTTTTGAATATTATGTTTTGGAAAATCTAGTTTCAATATTTAATTTTCAAACAGTATTTTAATATCATTATATTGACTTTGATTTTTTTTTTTTGTTATACTATATATTTTTGGGCATGATCGACAATACTTGAATCTTTATATTTTTTTATTAATTTCTTTATAAACTTATCTTGCAATTATCTCATAACACTTGCATAACTTTTTATTTTTTTGAATGAGAGAAATATATAAAAAGCATTTGAAATCGTTTTGCATACGCAGCATTCACTTTAGAAGTAACAATTCTATTATATAATATAATGATATAAAATAATTGAAGCTTCAGAATAAACCATTGCGTATTGAAGAAGATTAAATAGATTCTAAGTTTCAGAATATCACAATTTCTTTTTTCGATATCCTCTTTTATTTCTCTCTATTTGATATATATTTTTATATACAATATTTGCAAACTAATTTTATATAATTTTTGTATAATTATATAATTGTATAATTGTATAATTTTAATAGTTTATATTGTTTCTAATTCAGAAAATTCTACGAGATTATTTTTGTAATATTTAAATTATTGTTAAATAATAATGTTAATTAATTTTTATCTTTATTATTATATAATTGGAATAAAATTATTGAAAAAATCAATAATAATAATAAAATTACTGAATTCAAGATAATTTTTTTGCCTTATTAAAAAAAATTTTGAATAAAATTTTTGTTTCTTGAAATAATTTTTGTTGAACTGAATTCGGCACATTTCATTGAATATTAATTAATTAATATTAATTAATTTTAGTAAAATATATTTTTTTGTATTATAATTTAATATAAAATGTAATAAAAAATATTAATGAAAATAAATTTAAATAAGAAATAATTGATAAATTATCTTATTTATGTAAATCAATTAATATGAAATATAAATTATTTGAATTAAAAAGAAATATACTTATAATAGTATATTTAATTAATATAATTTAATTAATTAATATATTTAATAAATATATTATATTAATATATTTATAAATATTCAATTTTTTTATTTTATATATTATTATAATGTAATAATTTATATCACATACATATAATATGATATGCTAGATGTATTTATTGTTTTTCTACTTTTTCTAAGTATATCATAATGAAAATTACTTTCAGATATGTTTAAAAAGTTCCTGCTATATTCGTCTATTTTACGCTTTCTGTATACGCTTTTACCTTAATCGCCAAACTACGTATATAAAATGAATAAAAGAAAGTAACTTCCTCTTGCTAATCAGCTTTGATAATCAAGTAATATATCAAGTTCTTTAAATAAAATCAAATAAATGCAAAGATTATTATCATAATAAATTTATTAATTCAGTTAATTTTTGCTATTGTTTAGAACAGACATAAAGAAAAAATAATTATTATGAAAGCGTACATTTTTTTGATATCAAATATTTATCCATTTCAACTTCTCAATCTTTATTTCGAAAAATATCCGGTGAAAGAAAACGCGTTTCTTAATTATATATAATTTTATAGTAATTATATGTAGTTATATATAGTAATTATATATAATTTCATCGTTAAAATCCATGATTAAATTAAAATTAGAATTTATTAGTTACAATTATTAAAAATAAAAATGATTTAACTTATTACTTAATTTATTAAAATGGAATTTAAATGACAGAAATTTATCACTTTAATTATTTTTATGATGAAAATATAATTATTACAGTAAAATATAATTTCAGTTGACCTATCTAAATTTTTAGATCTTTTCTCCCCTCTTCCTTTTTCTCTTTCTCTCCTCCTCCATTTATATGTATGTATTTATATATACATATATGTGAAAGCATGTAGTATATCTTGAAGAGTTTACAGAAAAAAATTTTAAAATATTACTTTATTATCACTTTTACAATATAATATTATATTTATTAAAAATTAAATTTACAATAATTTATATTTTTATTATATTTATTATAATTATTATTTCTTAATTTTTTGTATATATATTTCATTTAGAAAAAGAATAAGAAATAAAAAAATATAAAGAAATAATATAAAGAAATTAAATTAAAATTACAATGTAATTCATCAAATTTATTTTCTTTCTGCTTTTCTTAACTATAATATATAATATAATATATAATAAATAATAAAATGATTTTTTTCAATTTCATTACAGATTTATACTGATCTTTAGAAAATTTGTTTGAAAAATATTGAATCTTATTTTGAATATTGAATCTTATATTGAAAAATTAAGTATATTATATATCTATATAAAATTTTAATAATCAATTATTTATAGCATTAACAAAATAAATATTTAGGAAAATTTTATTTAAATTTGGACTTTCTTTATAACATTTTCATTTTTTATAAAACGAAGTTTAATTTTATTTAAATATCTTAAAATATCTTAAAAAATTTTTACTTAATTTTTAGGTGACAATGACAGGAGATTACATTTTGGCAGTCACTACTAATATGTTAGCTAAACTGCGAAATGATGATATCACTCTTACACTCAGTCAGGTAAAGTTTATGTATTTTATAAGCATGTTTTTACAGTTTGTCTAGTTTACTTCTAGAATATCTAGAATGTTTCTAGTTTAATACTTAAACAATATATATTTAAATTTCTTTTTTTCATTTTATATATGAATATTACGTTCTCAATTTTTTTTCTGAACTCTGTGATTTTTTATTTTTAAAATATATGTGTAAATATTATTTTAATGAATAAAAAAAAATTTGAAGTTTAATCTTTTATATGAGATTTCATATATGTGACAAAAGATTTCATGATTTCAGTTCATAGAATGTCTTGCATAACGTGTTTAAATACTATCTATTATTATTTTATTTTATATAATAGCAATCAACTAATATGTTAATATTTGCACGAATACTTAAAAATACGGATACACTATATATAAAATTCTGATACAATTCTGTACAATAAGTATTAACAAGTCCAGATACTTTCCAGGTCGTGACAGATCTAGTGCAGGGTGAATTTATGCAGCTTGGCTCGAAGGAAACAGAGAATGAGAGATTCGCACATTATCTTACGAAAACATATCGTAAGACAGCTAGTTTAATCGCTAATACTTTGAAAGCTGTATGTATTTTGACGTTAATTGATTTTATTTTATAATTATTGTTAATTAATAAATATATTTCATCATAGGAAGCTATGTTAGCTGATGCTAATGATCAATTGGCTGAATTAGCCTTTCAATATGGTAGAAATATTGGTTTAGCGTTTCAATTAGTCGATGATCTTTTAGATTTCGTATCGACTTTACCAACAATGGGTAAACCTACTGCAGCGGATTTGAAATTAGGTCTTGCAACTGCTCCAGTTCTTTTCGCTTGTGAACGGGTGAGGATATATATTAATTTTTAAATAAAAGATTACTAATTTTTTTATTTTTTTATCTATATAGTTTTAATTTAATATAATAGTTTTAATGTTTTAATTATAAAATCCAAAAATATATTTATGTAACTTTCAACGAATAGAATATTATTTAAAAATACTTCCAAAATACTGTTTAATTACTTAATATCATTAAACTAATTAAATATCAGAAAATAAGAACTCATACTATCAAAAATTATAAATGTTTATATATAATCATTATTACAATATTAA